TGTTCATGTTCCCAGATGGTTCTGGTAATCCATGGTTTCTGGTTGTGAAATTATTTTACTGTAGTTTTGGGATCAGCTGCTTCTGTTGTTGTTCAAATTAAATCCATCACAGACTCTGTGAGTTCATTGATGTCATCTGTGACGCTGACGATGGGGAACCATGCCAACATATCACAGGCAGGTTGGGCAGGCGGGACAAAGGAAATGACGAAGCAGTATTCAAAGGAAGTTATTACAGAAACAGTGTGTGAAACTCTCCACCTTTACCTTCTCTCCTCTCTCTCTGTCTCCCCCTGAACACAAACACGCACGCTTTGTAGAGCGCTGTGGCACTTGTTCCTGTTCACAGTCGTGACAGTTGTGCTACTGCAATTCGGAAAGTTTGCAGGCCGGGTGGTTGATTACCACATATTTTTTAGCATCCTCAGCACTTTTATATCCACCCCTAATGCTACTACGTATGGCAGCTTGTTTGGTGTTCACTCTCTGCATAAGTACCTCCACTCCATTTGGAGTCTGGTGCTCCACCCCCTCTGACTTTCAGTTGGGTATTCTTGACTTAATGCTCTCAACTTTTACTTCTTCTTCAGTCTCCCTGTGTGCACACGGCCCGGCAGTCTCATGCCCCATAATAGGGATTTGTGGGGCGTTTACCTATGCTCATTACGATCAACTGTTGCGCGCTTTCAAGTTATGAGGACAATGGGATTCATCATTGTAAGAATTCTGCTGTCTGACGTAGACTTTTCTTAGGACCTTTCTTAAGGACAAATTTAAGAAAAAACTTAATGGTGAATGAGGCCCATTGTCTCCATGTCTCACATCGCTGGGGGCATGCGTCATAGTTTGTTTAAATATCTTAACCTCAACAAGATGGCCACATGGTTGCTCCTCCCAACCATGGGCAGCACTGCTCTGCAGCCGCCTCTGTACAGCTTAAATCAGCAGGAACAGGACAGCACCTCACACGCCCACTGTCACACCAGTCCTTATTCTCCATAAAGCACACACCTCCTCTCCTTCTCTCACCTGAGTCTTCTGCTCTGTCAGATCAGCATATAGAAAAAGAGTCACCTGATTGAATGGGGCTGTCCAGGATTTAGCCATGGACATTACAGTTCCTGATATCCTGTCAGAATCTGATGCTGATCGGAGGTCGTCCAATTCATGATCTAACACCTGTACAATGGCTAGCAGGATGCTAGTCTGGCTGATGCCCATCTTCTCCATCTTTACTGATGTTAACATTTGAACACCTGGACCTGGTTAGCTGGGAGCTAGCAGATGTCGGCATGAGGAGAGCTTACAGACTGGTGAGTGGCTAGCAGCCACACTTTATCACTGTCAGATGCCAACCACAAAAAGCACCACCAAGACTTGCAATCGACTAAGAGCCTGAATTTAGCCCGAATTTGGCAGAGCTGATGGAGAAGTGGCTGGAAATGTCCACACTTGCATTAAAAAGATGACACTATAGTGACATAAAGCGCTCATTTTCCAGCCCAAAGAGATGTCTCTGCAGTTTTGAAACCAACCCTGAAATGCGCAAACATTTAAAACAATACAATAACAACAACTTCAATTTAAATCATGTCAAGAAAAGAAAGATATAAGAGACAGTGTAACAACTTGAGCAGAGTTTCAAAAGTACAAGTATCAAAAAGCAGATGGAGTCATTTAAAAATTTCCTCCTTCTTCATGCAGTCACAGTGATGCATTCAGGTTTTAACATTCGGCTGCCAAACACCATCCTGAACTAAAGAAACTGCCAACCTGGCGTTATTATTTCACAACTTCTATGTTTGCTTATTGGTTTCTGAGCTCAACATACCAGATCATATATGTTGGAGAAATTTTAGAGCAGAATCACTCACAACTGCAGTACCACAACACAACAACATACCTAAATCACCCGTACCAAATCCACCGACCACATCACCCCCATCCTCATTCAGCTCCACTGGCTACCTGTCCATCAGCGAATCCAATATAAAGTCCTTCTCCTCACATTCAAAGCTCTCCATAACCTGGCCCCCCAGTACCTGTCAGACCTTCTCCGCCCTTACACCCCCACCCGTGCTCTACGCGGGTAGAGCCTTCAGCTGCTCTGCACCCAGACTCTGGAACTCTCTGCCCCCCATATCCGTCAGATTGGCTCCATTGGACAGCTTAAAACCCATATGTTCAGACTTGCCTATCCGGTTTAATTTTCTGTCATGTATTTTATCTATTTTTAATGTTGTATTATTGGTATTTTTGTATGTTTTTATTGTAAGGTGTCCTTGGGTGCTCAGAAAGGTGGCAACAAATAAAATTTACTATCATTATTATTATTAGTATTAAATGTTTTTAACATCAACATGCTATCATTATTTGTTTCCTCCCATCAGGACCTCCACCTCCTAAGTGAATAGCATCTGCAACTTGCCTCTGACCCACTCCTGCAGCCTTTAGGCTTCTGCCACCTCCGCTGCTACGCTGGGTCGGTTATACAAAGTGTTAAACTGTTGTGGTAAAAATGTTTATAAGCCGAGCAGTAAGCAGGAAGGCATGGACCTGAACCCCTTTTTGTTGGATGATTAATGGTACTTCATCATCATCAGCATCATTTCTCTCTCTCTCTCTCTCTCTGAGAGCCTACATAACCACATAGCCAGCATTACTGGTATATGGCACCATACAGGGTACTGCTGCTGTAATTAGGACAACATGTACAGTGTGTGTCTGAGTGTGAGTTCTTAACAGGTTCACAGGCCTCTGCTGCCTGGGCCCAACATAATGAGCAATCTGCCACATTAAAAGGGTTATCCAACACTGATTCACGGCTCTCTATAGGCTGAATACTTAACGCAAATTTTTTTCGGGTCACTCTCCAATCAGTGATGTTGTCACAGGAAGCATTTGGTTTATCCATGGATTTATTAAAAAAACATAAGAGCTAGCTCGCTGTTTGCCCCCTGCTTGCAGTCTTAATGCTAAGCTAGACGAATGCATAGGTAGGAAATCTCTTTCTGTCAGAAAGACAGCAAACAAATGTATTTCCCAAAATGCTGAACCATTTCCTTCAGTGATCACTGCCATAGTTACTATATTAATCCACATGGAGTGATTGCACAAGATTGGCTGTTTGACAGTAAGAATCCTTTGCTTCCAGTCTTTTTACCAAGATCAATGTCACACCCCTGTAATGGTTTGTTCAATGCTTTTTTGCTTGTAATTGTTTGAAAGAGCCACACATTTGTACTTCTGAGGACCCCCATTTACATACCAATAATAATATTACCTTGGCCCTTACCCTAACTTACCTAATTCCTCCTTTAACACATCTCAGCCTTCAAACAGCCCACTGAAGTGCAGACAAAATGTCCTCTGTGTCAAGGTCTAACACTCAAGTGTGTGCTCACAAAGACAGAAGTACAAAAGAACACAAGTGGAGGATTGAAAGCACTAATAATAAAAAAAGGAAAGAAGCAGATTTTAAATTTAAGGCCAATTGTTATTCCTGCAGTTAATCTCACTCTTTGTCCCTCTCATTTAGTCTACGCTTAAATACTTCAGAATCTGAGATGTTAATTTTACTGCAAATTAACTGAAGAAGCACTCAAAGCGTGGGAGGAACGTTACTACAGTACGTTCAGTTTATGAAATGTAAGACGACAACTTAACAAGGTGCTCTCTGATCGCACTGCTGCTAAAAACTGAAAATATTAAAAACTAAAGGCTCTTCTCTCTCTGTTTGGATAACTTAAGTGGTGTCAGTCTTTGGATGACTTTGTCCTCATTACAAAGTTTAAATCTTACCTCCTACACACAAACACACACTGCTGGAGACACATCTCCACACACACACAAACACACACGCACATGGACAAGTCAGCATCTAACAGAACTAATGATGATTCATTGGGTTATGTAACACATACTGGCAACAGAGGAAATAAGTGGAGACGAGGGAGTTTAGAGGAGCTTGTTTTCCTTGAGGGAGGACAGAAGGCCAAAGGCTGATGTGGAGAGCTTGTCTGGTCACACGTGGACAACACAGCCGACCTGCTGATTCACTTCGCTCTAATAGCTCTACTTTAATAAAGAGTATGTAAATGCAATTTTATGTCAAGCAGATGAGAAACTAGAGAATTTAACAGTTGTAGTTTATGTTGGAAATAGATGTAAGGGATGCAAAAACTATAGTAGTATATTGTTACTAAACTATGGCTGGTGTTGCTTTGTTCAATCATGCTTCTCAGTTGTCAACATCTATCTTCTTACCCATAAACCTTTGTGTTTAAGGTTGTTTGCTCTTGGTTGTACGGACATGATCAGTTCTCTCCAGTTCAATACTTTATGATAGGCGCAGATTCAGGCACTGAACATGTACATATAGATGGGTATTTGGAGCCGCCTTATTACTGATGGGATTGTCCACAGCTGAAATAAAATACTACATGTATATACCTTTTTTTTTTTTTTAAAAACGGGAAAACCTGCTAAAGACAGGCTATATACTCCTGAACCAATGCCAGTAGATTAGTATGACTTTCTGTTTTGTTTTTTACTGGTGTGTCATGTTAGACATAACAAGCACACTGGAAAACAGGTTAGAAAACAGTAGAAAGCAGTATGGAGGCTAGGGGAAATGGTACTGTGGTTACTATATTTCTTACTTATTCAGTGTCTCGTTTAAACTTGTTGCAGACTAATTTGGAACGATGTTGAAACACTGCTTGAGCAAATACGGATGGAACTTTTGCCAGTGAGTTATTGCATGTTGCCGGAAAAGTGGCAAAATTAGCATGTCCACCAGGGTGTCATATTTTAGTCACTGCCAATGGAAGCCAATTGGAGCTGGAGCAGAAAAATACCCGTGACTACTGCGGAGCCACTTGATCCAGGTATGAATGTCGATTGTAACCTTTTCCACTAAAGACAAAGGTCAGATGTTGGTGGGGAAGGGGCTTTAAATAACCTATAGTGTTCAGGTCATAACTGACCATCTGACTCACCAGGTATCCACTCGTCCTCGTCATCTCCATCGTTGTCGTCATCAGTTATGTAGCAGATATCTCTCTCCCTCTTCCTTTCATTCAGCCGCTCATCCTCTTGATCAGACATCCTGACCTGCAGGCTGCTGCTACCTCAGCATGTCCACAATACACACCTGAAACAAAGAGTAGAGGTATGAATGAACAGATGAACAAGTACAGACATACAGAAAGACACACAAACTAAAGCACTTTTTGATGTACGGGAAATGACTTGTCTCGGTTTCCTCCTCTGCCATCTGTCTCCACACACAGACAGTTTGAAGCTTTTCCCATGAGAGGAAAGACAACAGCTGTTTGCCAGTTTTGGTTTATCCCTACTCCAAAGCCCTCTACACTGTATCATAGTGGAGGGTGATGCCACCTACCTTTTAAGTTTAGGAAGCATTTTTTTCTTAGGGAGGACTTGGGTATCAAACATACCCATGCATAAAATACTCACCACAACAGGTATTAGCCACACTGTTTTGTCACTTGGAGAAACTTGAGGACATTTACATTATTTCCTGGAACCTATACTGCCTCATCCCAAACACTTATCCCGACCTTAACATAAGTTTATTTGTTTATTTTTTATGTTTATTTACTTCTGTTTGACAACAACAAAAGCTGGTGGTTTCTTATGAGAGTTTAGGACACTGCCAGCTCTGACTGCAGTGACAAAACCAGATGTTTTAATGCAAAACAGGATGTTTTTCTAACCCTGACCAAGTGGTTTTGTGCCTAAACCTAACCACACATAAAATTGAAAAGTGAAATGTAAAGAAACACAACTGCTACGTATAAAACGTAGAAATTTAACATGTCGGTGGTTTACAGAAACATCAAATGCCACTATTAAGTGTAGTGATTGTGTTGTTCTGTCCCCCGATAAAGGATGAGTCTCCACAATGTATGTGTAAGTTTACACTTTTGTTCCCACAGGACCATTAATACAAGTACACACACCCTACTTCTATTAGTGTTATCATTAATCATAGCGAGTTTTTTAGAATATATGTAAAGACGTAAGTCCTGCATTTAATTTGTAGCATTAAGAATTTTTCTCGCCCTTATGCCCCAGTCCACCTCATACACATACACTATTTAAAATTAGAATTAGCGTCTTGTGGTTGTATGCCTTCAAAAAGCTGTCAAAATGCAGTAACAGTTTAGATCCATGTCTGTGAAAACATGGATGTTCACACACATCTTCCCCTCGGAAGCGCACAAGATAACAGCACAGTTACAAGGTGGGCACCAAGATTAGTGTCACCAGTTCAGTATCTGACCAAATGTTAATTATTAAGTGGAGTATTGGGCAAACAAGCCTGTCTCATTGCACTCACAAAATGAGATGGACGCAAGGTCACAAAATCTAATCAGTTTATCCTTAAAGGGAAATTTCGGTTTATTTCAACCTGTCTCCTATCGTCCTAAATTTGTTTCAAGTGACTAGTGACATTAGCATGTTAGCCGTTAGCCTAGATACAGCCGGGGTGCACAGTAGCGTCAGACCTGTTAAAACGTAAGTGAACGGGCAACCTTCAAATGCAAAGTTAGTCCACTAAACAAGCTTTTTTTTCCACAAAGACCGCCTCATATCGTTAGGATAAATGTCAGAGAACATATAGAAAATGACATGTAAACGTGTTGTCTTACCTTACCGGTGTGCTGCCATGCTTGTTTACCATTTAGCTCTGCTTTTCAAAGCACGGCCGAAATATCGCGAGAACGAGCAGCGATCTCATAGCGTGCCTGAAATCGTGGACTAACTTTGCACTTGAAGGTTGCCCGTTCACTTACGTTTTAACAGGTCTGACGCTACTATGCGCCCCGGCTGTATCTAGGCAAACGGCTAACATGTTAACTATTATTTTTATGTCACTAGTCACTTGAAATAAATTTAGGACGATAGGAGATGGGTTAAAATAAACCGAAATTTCCCTTTAAGGATAAACTGATTAGATTTTGTGACCTTGCGTCCATCTCATTTTGTGAGTGCATTCATGAGAATGCGATGGACAAGGTCACAGTGACCTTGATCCTTGGCCATCAAATTCAAATCATTTTAACTTTAAATCAATGTTAATGTTTATGCCAAATTGAAGAAATGAGAGGTATGCAAGGTCACAATGACCCCTGACTCAAAATCTAATCAGATCATCCTTAAGTCTAAGTAAATGTCTGTGCCAAATTTGGAAAAACTACCTCAAGTATTCTTGAGGAATACCGTTCACAAAATGAGACATATGCAAGGTTTAAGTGGATGTTTGTGCCAAAGTTGAAGAAATTCCCTTGAGGTGTTCTTGAAATTTTGCATTCACAAGAATGAGACAGATGGGGTAACAGTGATCTTGACTTTTGACCTATGATCACCAAAATCTAATCAGTTCCTTGTTGAGTCCAAGTAAACTTTTGTGCCAAATTTGAGGAAATTCACTCAAGGCGTTCTTGAGATATCACATCCACAAGACTGGTACAGACTGACGGATGGACAGACAACTTGAAAACATAATGTTTGCAGCCATGGCGATTGGCGGGCCAAAGGCATAAAAAAACTGAAACTAAATTAAACTAGACAAGAAGTAATTGCTGCAACACTGCACGGGTGCTGTTGCATTCAAACTATCGATGGCATGTGAACCAAACATTTAAAGGCACAATGCAAAAGTGACAGTGCTGCAAAATGCAAAAGTTATTTTGAAGTGGATACAGAGAACAGCACTTGCCATTCGGGAAATTTGGGATTTAAACATATTTTAAGTTTAGTTTTAGCCACAAAACTGAGTATTTGAGTCCATTCTCACATTTATATAATTTGTGTTTTTTCCTGAGAAAAACTAATGGATCATATTCTTTGTTTCAGCTGCACTATCTAAGTAAAGAAAGGACAGGAGGATGGTAAGAGGTCCGTTGCGAGAGACGTAACAAAGATCATGACCTGCAGATGAAAGACAGAGATGCAGAGCAGATGGACAGAGGGAAATGTACCACCGAGAGACACACACAATGAGAGAGCTCTCAAGAGTGTCTGGGATGCTTTTAAAGCTCCATCTCTCAGCAGCAGGAAAATTATGCTTGCATTACTCACAAGCTTTTCACTGTGCACTGTGAGTGTAACAATCATAAACTGAAACCACAGACGGCTGCCGTGCCCTTCATTATCAGCTGTGGTTGGGTAAAAGCAAGTTTTTCTGTTCCTTTTTTTGTTTTATAGAGCTATAATTCTGTTGTGTACAACAAACATCATAATCATTCTTTAAATTCTCACAGATGAACACAAAAATATCATTACCAATGTCGCAATCCACAGAACCACTGAGGAAACCTTGACATTACAGAAATTCAAACAATATCGAAAATGACTTTCTCAATGCATTTTCCAACGACAAATACATGAATCACATGAATTCACCAAGGCCTCTGAGTCATTTTATAGGCTATTAATAAAGAGATTCATGGGGTTGTTTGTTTCGTTTCCCTGGCCTGCATGTCTTTTGACGCACTGGTCAGGAATACCGCTCCTATTTCGTTGTTTACATTTAGTTTTTAATGAAATAAAGGCTGTTTCATATTCTATTCTCCTCCTCTGTATTTATTTATTACTGAGGGGGCGGTTAAAAATTATGAGGGTGCAAATCTTTATTATGCAACATAGGTTCACAGTGAGCTATAAAGAGCGCGCAGACGTGCGTAATAGTCGCCCGTAATGACAGCTCGTCGCCGGTGAAACACAATAAACTGCACGTCTTCTTTCATGTTTGTCTCATGACAGATGGAGCTGACAGACAGACAGACAGACAGACAGACGGGTGGAGCAAGCGGCAAATTGGTATGAAAGCTGGTTCAGGGCATATTCGTCCATTTATGAATAAATATAGAGAGGAAACGCTTATGCATGTGCACCAAGATCCTGTGTTAACATCCTGTCGCTAGGCTACATCTTCTTCTTCTTCTTTTTCTTCTCCTTCTACTGTTTAATGGGGACCCGCGGGACCCGGCGGGACCCAATCCCAATGCAGCCCTCTATGCTTGCATTACTCACAAGCTTTTCATTGTGCCAGAGTGTAACAATCATAAACTGAAACCACAGACGGCTGCCGTGCCCTTCATTATCAGCTGTGGTTGGGTAAAAGCAAGTTTTTCTGTTCCTTTTTTTGTTTTATAGAGCTATAATTCTGTTGTGTACAACAAACATCATAATCATTCTTTAAATTCTCACAGATGAACACAAAAATATCATTACCAATGTCGCAATCCACAGAACCACTGAGGAAACCATGACATTACAGAAATTCAAACAATTTCGAAAATGACTTTCTCAATGCATTTTCCAACGACAAATACATGAATCACATGAATTCACCAAGGCCTCTGAGTTATAGTTAAACGTTTCCTTCCCCTACATCTACCGCTGTAAACAAGAATTATCGCCTTAGCTGTCTGGCTGGGATAAAAACAAAGGCTTTAAATAATATGCACTCCCACTCAGATGAGCCCAGACATACAGTATCAAAGCAAGGTTTACTCTTGATCACCTGCCAGCTCACCTTGCATAACATTACACAGCAGATTACACAACAGGTAGCTCTGGCCAAGTTGACTTACTGGCCTGACAGGGCGGTTTTATAAGCCTCATAAATTCTACCAAGCTGGCCTTTATGGACTTGTTGCTGGGCTGAGAACCAGTAACCAAGGACCTGGTCAACTCACTTTTACTCTGATGTCCTGGTTTCGCCCAAAACACGTGTACATGACCACAGAGCCTATTTGAATAAATGGATTGTAGATTTTTTCCTATTAAGAATTAGAATTACCATCTGTTGCCTCTGCACACCCGTCAGGCTGCAGGTACAGTTTACAGTTTCCATGTTTTCACAGACATGGATGCTTCACACACATCTTCAGCCTGGCAGCACAGAAGATCTATACAATCAGCACAGTTTTAAGGTGGGCACCCAAGATTAGTGTCACCGATTCAGTATCTGACCAAATGTCTCCTCTGTTCATGAGCTATGGCATTAATAATGGCCAGAAGTGTGTTTGCAGAACATTATGTCACAGTGAAGTTGCCCTTTTGCATATAAAATATCAACACTTAACCTCGAGTTGTGACCACTGAAACCTAATCAAT